GAAGAGTTTGGAAAGTCAGAGGCCCTTTCCTCAGGAAAATGAGCAAGACTTAGTGTTTTGTAAACGTGTAAGGGTTCTACAGAAGCAGCCCCCAGTGCTCATGGATTCCAGGCTCAGGTCCTGTATCTTCAATCACCTTGTTTTCAGATGCCCTCCCGTTGCGGAGCACAGGCTCCGGACGCACAGGCTCAGCGGCCATGGCTCACGGGCCCAGCCGCTCCGCGGCATGTGGGATCCTCCCCGACCGGGGCACGAACCCGCGTCCTCCGCATCGGCAGGCGGACTCCAACCACTGCGCCACTAGGGAAGCCCCACTCCCAGGAGAATTTTTTAAAATGAGTCTGACTGGTAAACATTGGAACAATGAGGCTAGGTAGTCTTGTATCCTTTTGAAAGGAAGCAGGAAGTGAGTCTTGTCTAGGAATATTGGTTTTATTTCCTGCTAGCTGTGTAATCATGGGCAAAGTACCTAAATTCTCCGAGTCTCACATTTCCTCATATTTAAATAGGGGGATAATAATATCTGTCCAATCTACTCTGAAAGCACCGTATGAGGCTCGAAAAAGACATTATTAAAATCTGGCTGTGTACGTGCAAAAACTATCAAATGTAAATAACTATTACTCTGCATAGCAGGATAGGGACTACAAAAGTCAAAGGGGTATTTTAAATAATGCATTTGCATATATGCTTTTGAACTGGGACAAATGAAACTACTTTGCCTTCCAGAATGATCAAGAGCTATTTGAGATTGCAAGGGTACTATGGAAATGCCAGAGATGAAAATCAATTCATTTGTTTTCTATAATGCATTTGCCATTGCCACTAAGGTTGTGCGGATTTTCATCAAAAGCTTCTGTAATCTGCTGCTGCAGGATGACCTGCTGGAGGTTTACGAGGTCCCGTGTTGTCATGAATGTTCTGTCCCTTCAGTAGTCGTGCGCCACAGCATCATACACTTCCCAGATGCTATCATGGAATAATTCTAGTACCAGTGAAGAATAAAACATGTTTGCAAAACTTACGGCTGCTTAACAGCAGCTTTTTAAAACTACCTGTCTAGGCTATTATTACAAAAGTGAACGTTGACTACACCATCCTGGCAGGAGTCAGGGCAGAGTCAGTGTTGACGTGCCGTTTTGCCTTTTCTTCCTCCACGTGTAAAGCTTTTAAAGAGGTGTAAATTCTCCTGAACAGCATTTCAGCAATTCATATATCATTTGGTTTCGAAAACACCATGCCTGTGGCTACCCCCTCCCCCTTCATATTCCATTGTATTGGCTGCGGGGACACCTCCAGTGCAGACTCATTTATAGTCTGGGCACTGGCAAACTCGAGCTGCTTGAATACCCCACGGGGAAGCAGTTATTCCATCAGAGGCCTCTTGCCCTCATCATGCCACTCATTTCTGCATGACTTAAATGGGCATTTGCCACTGCCTATTATTTCCCTGGCGCTGACACCACGGGTGCCATTATCGGAGAGGGCCTGGCTATCTCTCTTTTTCTTCCCTGCAGTGTCAGCTTGGTATTCTGACATGTGAAGAGAGAAAGCTTGGAGGTGATTGTAATCTAGTTCTTGGCATGCCCTTAACATAGCGCTTGGCGCTGGATTAGAAGTCACAGATCCCGGGCTCCTATTCTGGCTTTGCCATTTACAGGTCATGTAAACACAGATAATTTACTCAGTCTTTCTGAGTGTCAGTTCCCCGTTTCAGAGTGGGATGACAAAATAAGAGTTTCAGCCTGCTGGAGAAATCTTATGTGTATTTCCTAGATATCTTCTCACTTTCAGCCCCTTGGAAGTATCTGAAATGCAGAACGGATAACATAATTTTAATTAACATAAAATGACGTCGTTACCTGACATTCTTCCTTCATGCTGGCAAATTCTTAATCTCTGAGTCTGGAGATACAAGTTCAAATGTTCCAGAGTCAACAACAAATGTGAACGGCTGGGATCCCTCTAAACGCCCAGCCTATTATGGGAGAAAGTCACATGTTGTGGACAGAGACAGAGGAAGGCCAGATGTTAGACTCTGAAGGAATGACCGCTGGGCCATCGCTGCCTGATCAAAGAAGCACCCGCTGTGCGTTGCACAATCTGGTTTCAGGATTCAATATCACCGTGATGGATCAAATCGTGGTACACGCCTCATCCTTCCATCAGCGTGCTTGGTTGGGGATACAGGATGTGGCAGACACAGTTGGCACCCACTGAATTCCTACATTTAGTGCTTTCCTTCATTTCTCAGTTTTTAAGGCATCCAGATTTGGGGGTTGTCAGTTGCAGTTCTGAGCAATGAATTTGGAGCAGATGTGTTGGCACTGACAGACTGAAGCACTAAGAGCTAGTCTGCTCCCACCAAATTTCTGTTATCCGGCCTTGGCAACACGTTCCAGATGGTAGAGCTCTAAGATGGAGCTGGCTCTCCAACCTGAATTGGACTTGAGCAAGAAATAAACCTTTCTTGTTTTAAGTCATCCAAATTCGGGGGCTCGGCTGTTGCAGTAGCTAGTGTTTAACTGTCCCATTTAAAACAGGGTAAAATCTATGGGAGAGTGAGAACCAGTATTTGAAAGTTACCTAGAAACAATTTCAGTTCTTAAGGAAGAGTGTTCTAAGAGAACTTTTCCAAAATAGGCTGGTCAAGAAAAAAAATATTGACCCATCCAATGAGACAGTAAGCTCTGGGTCAGGACAGTGTTTAAGAAGAGCTTGCGTGCAAGGATGCTGTTAAGTAGCTGCCCCAGTCCCCTGACCATCAGGATGCTGGATAAGATGATGCCTGTGAAAGGCTACGTGAGTCTAGGACAGCATTAACTCATTAATGAGGGTTTATGGAAAGTGTACCCAGCATGTCTCCCTTCACCAAAGTCAACTCACTCTTCTGTGATTGCTAGGGAAGAAAAGACTCCAGACTCGGCTTATTGGATTTTCACTGTCCTTTTAGGACTACTAAAGCAGAATGACTTTGACATGGGCAGCAGGCACTTTTCTTTCTTAATTTACTAGATCCCTTCAGGCCTTAGGCTACTCTTGCCTTTAGGATTGTTTCCAGGCAACAGCCTAAAGCCCTTGTTCTAAAACACCTCAGAGAAGCTCATCTTTTAAAAGAGTCAAACTTTAGTAGTTACTTTTGACCCCAGTGAAAAGCAAAAGATTGACTAGCGTTTTGAAAGGTGGCCTGAGGTACCTTCAGAATGTTCTTTGCTGTTTAGGGTGTTGGTAATGGCTCTTTGCTTTCTTACTCTCAGGCCATATAAAGGCAACTCACCTTCAATAACCTTCACTGGTTTATGCTTAGGAAAGGAGGTAACATGGCGGCCAAGGTGATCACCGCTCAGCAGACAAGTGAGACTGTGGTTCTCACCTTGAAAAAGGTGTTAGGGGCAGTAGGAGAGTGAGAGATTGGACTGGGACCTGTACAATGAGGTAGAGAAAATTCAAGATAACAAGTTGACTAGTCGGGTGCAAACATAACACACCTAAATAAGAGAATTGGCCACCAACAATCCAGGAACTGTCCAATGTGTTGTTTAGCATTTCTATTTTAAACCAAAAAAATTTTTCAGAAAGGAATAAAATGTAATGAGCTTCGAGCTCTTCTAGTTCAAATTCCCCAATTTTCAGGAGTTTGAATATCAGCAGACAGATAAAAAGTGGTTCATGGTGATCCAGGACTAACACTCGAGCCCCCCCAGTTTCCAATCATTGCCTTTTGTCTTATACCCACTGATACATTCCTTGGAGATGTACTATGCAGATAACTTTTGGTAAAACTCACCCACCTAAGAAAAGATGGCCTCAGATTGTGGAGTTTCTATGGCATTCATTCATTCTTTCATTGTTTCTGACTTCAAGGAGCTTTCATGCTTACATGGAAATGGTATTCACTGACACTGACTTAAAGGACAGATGTGCATATTCCTCTCCTTATTAAGCACGTCAGTGTTTTCCAGGGTTCGAGTCTTAAGCAGCAGTGATCCACAGTGTGTCCCCCTTTCCTGATTTCTGCAGGTTAATGCCTGTCTCTCTGCCTCGTGAGCAGAGCGGATTCAGCTCACCTGTTCTGCTTTTCCAGAGCTTGTCAGGGACAAGAAGGATGGAAAGTCCTTCCAGGACCATTCAGACAGGTTGACACCCATCCTTTCAGGGCTATGTGGTTTCCACGGGGCCAACCTCTTTCCAGGAAAAGCAGTGCTCTCCTGCCCACCCTTGGACTTTCTTTCCTGGGTCCCTGGGCTTTGGTCAGGCTCAGAGAGCAAATATGCAGCCTCTCTTGATCTAGGCTCTGACAGCCGCCCTGCTTGGGAAGGGGGTTGAAACTGTGAGGGCAGGGGGGGCAGGTACATGTTTTAGGATCATATTTTTCCAGGAGTCCCAATTTGAATCTATAGTTTAGTTCATGTTGTTTTTTTTCTTACCTAGGCATCTCCTCCCCACTGCTTCATAGATAGCCACCTCCTCTGAGCTCACAAAGAGGTTACAGCTGCTTGGGGGCCCTGCTGTGACCTCTCGTTTGCATCTAGTCACCACATAAAGCCATGTTGCCATGAACACCACATGTTAGTGCCATGTGTTGGGGATAAGACACTTTGGGAGCAGAATCGAGCAGCAGGTGAGTCAAAAAACCATGGGCTTTACCTTTTGGGATCATAAAATGGGCATTCCACTACAAAGGGTGGCCAGTCTGAGGATGCCAAGCTGAGAGAGAGGACACAATCCATGAATGCTGTAAGCTGGAGGCCAAGGCTGGAGATGAGACCCAGGCAGAGAGGAGGCTTAGTGTAAACAGAAAAATCAAAGTTCAGACAAGTCAGAGAAGGAAGAAAAGCACAAGTCTCCTGTGACCTGCAAAGTGTGGCATGCAAATGCTGTCTTCATCAGGGAGCCCTCTCTTAAGACAGAGGTGCCACCGACAGAGGAAGAGGCTGAAAGCTGCTGCACGCCATCATTACAGTAGCGGTGATGATAGAAGCCCTTCCTTTGGCACAAACACATATGCACAAGTGCACACATACCCTATGTGTGTGCATATATACATGTGTGTATACGCATGCATGTATGTGTATGTACCGTATAGTTTATATATTACACATGAGTAATATACATAAAATACTATAGATATATACTTATACACACACAAAACTGAGTTTTGCAGGACTCTTGTGTCCTTTTCAGAGATCGACTGTCTTCCTCTTTCTCAGGCTGCCTCCTGACCCCCACCCCATCCATCGTGATTTCTCGGTCATGGTCACTTCCTGTGCCTTGGGCAGTGCCCTAGGCTTCAAACCTTTTCAGATTCTTTCTGTTCCTCAAAACTGACCTGTCCAGTGCCCCATTTCCTAAGAACCCTTTTGGTGGGGTTGGTTCTAATCTACTAAGCTAGTTCCATCAGGTGGTTGTTAATGGCTTACCGTATTATACTCTTTGCATGTTAACTGAATTCTTCTGGGCTCTATCCCAAATGACTGCTGCCAGGGCCTGGATCAGGGCGAGGTAAGTGGGTGCCTTGGATGCAAACTTCAAGGAGATGCTCGCACAACACTGAGAGTGAGTGTCTCTTAGATGTAGTGCCTTAGGAGCTTTTCTTGCCTCCCCTGAATTCAGGCCCTGACTGCCAGAGCGTGGAAACGTAAAGCTTTGTGATCAGCAAGAAGAGAGAAACTTCTTGTCTCCAGAATCACATTCTATTAGTATCTGCTCACTCTAAGTCTTAACCTGGGGACACCCTAGGTTCTTAAATTCATTTGCTAAGTCAAAAGGTAAAATATCACATAAGACATGTTTACTTGTCAAGATATTTCTTAATGCATGACAGTTTTGAAACAGCAAAAAAAAAAAAAAGATTCTGGATAATAGCAACAGAAGAGAGCTGGGCATATACAATAATGCTGATTTGGCCTGACTTCATCTTATTTTTGTAGAATAGAAATTCTGAAATAGTATGTTATTAAGGCTAAATTTAAGATATAAAATTAGACAATCAAGAACATAAAGCTTGTGCGGTCAAAACACAAGTATATTTCTCAAATAGACTAATTGCTTTAAAGGCAAAATTTACAAGATTCCCAGGGACACACATCTCCATGGGTGTGTTTCACCACTGAGGTGGAATCTGCATATTTCCAGGTCCTAATGGATGAATGAATGCTGATGTCTGGTGACTTACTGTCACCTTGCCTAAGTCAGGAGTGCAAAGGCAACGTTCTGATCGTAAGGAATGTGTGGCGCAATCATTTTGGAGGTTCTAGAAATCATTTTGGTCATAAACATTTTATCCAAATAGGAAATTAAATGAACAGGAAACCATTACATTATATTCTTATTAAAGGGATAGTGGTTTTGAACAATTGCTTTTGAAAACAAATGGGCAATTATTTCACATCTATCACTAAAGGCTAACGGTCTTAGCTGAAAGTAAGTGACGTGAGCTTTGTTGCAGAGATTCCTATTAAAGAAAAAACAGGACATGATTTCCTCCAGCAGGCGCATAAGGATGATTTTCCGGCTTCAGAATTTCCCTTTTGACTTCCAATCATGCTTCTCCAAGGGGTGCTTGCTAGACTGGAGCTACGGAATGTGACCATGGAGGGGAAAAGAAACTGATGAAGCCGTACTGAAACGTGATGTGCATCTTTTCAGCAACACTAAGGAAGGGATGATTAAGTGTTTGTTACTTTTCTATATCATCTATTTTTTTCTTATTTTTGGATTCATGTTTAATTATTTATTCAGTACCCATAGAGTACTTTCCTGGAAGTGATTTTCTTTATTGACACTAATGATGTTGAAGATAACTGTAATAATTATTATAAATCATTTAACGTTCTTACAATTTAATCTCCATCCATTATTTATTAGCTGTACATAGGCTTATGCTACCTTTAATTTTCACAATTCTATTATCTTTATAATAGAAACTGAGGCTAAGAAAGCTAAGAGACATGGTCTAGATCACGTAGTCAAGAACTAGAAACTGGGATGAATCCTGGCTTTATTTTTTTTTCCAAATCCTCTGCCTCTGATGTCTATTGGCTTTCCAGGACCGTCCACTCAATCCTGGTCTTTTTGGATATTTCCCTAGGCTCTAGGCATTTCCTGTTTACCCTTCCTCTCTGTTTCTCACCAAACTAGCCCCCAGATAGGTTGTTGATTGTCAGAAATAAGATAAATTAATTCACACTGGGACTGATTGGGACTAATTCATTTCTGTATTCTACAAAGAGTTAAGGATGACCTCCTTTCACCACACATTCTGCCTGCTTCTAGATTCTACAAATGAAGACAGCATATCCCTGTCCTCAGGGAGCCCTTTGCTCACAGACATGTCTACTGGACAAATCATGACCATATATTATCTCTCCTGTGTGCTGTATCTATTTTAAGAGGGATAGAGTTGTAACGATGAAACTTTAGGCACCAGCCTGCCAGCCTCATAAAACCGTAATGGAGGGGTGGGGTGAGGGGTCTAAGGTGCCCCAGGACCTGTAGGAGCAGGACTTTGCTTCTGCCTGAGGCTGATCCTGTTAGAAAACAGTCCATTTTAGACTGTTACCATGCCTACAATATTACTAATTTGGAACTTTCTCAAGTTTTATCTCTTAAATCTAAATTCTGTAAGGTAGCCTAATAAGTTATTTTTCTCCAACAATATTTAGAATCATAATTTTGGCAAAGCAGGAGGTCAGGTGCCCCTTCAATCGTGAGATTTAAATCTGTTTCCTGTTATCTTCTTTCTACTTCTTTCTGCAGCCCTATCATTGTGCTTGTAGTTCAGCTGGTGGCTCTGACGGGGTTCAGGACATGCTATCCCAAATTTGATACCTTGGTATATGGACTGTCTTAAGCTGAAGAAGTTTGAGAAAATGGTAGAAGCAGGAAAGTTACTCTGACTTCCCCACCCCATCCTCCTTCTTCCGTGAAAGCAGGGGTAAATTTGCCCATGTGAAAGGTACCCTCCCTGTATCCAGAGGAGAGAAGACATGGTTTTCACCAGCGATGGGGAAGCCGTTCAAACAAACTTCATTAAACTAACCCTTAGTATTCTTCCTCACCACTCACTACCCCCAGCCCAAACCCCTTTGCCTTGTCAAATCATCACAAATGTATTGTTTTGGTGTCTAAAAGGTATAAAAGCTTCCTGCTCTGGTCACTTCTTAGGTCTTTATTCTCTTGTGAAGACTTCCACATATATGTCAAAATGCAATATATCTTGTATACTTTTCTTCTGTTAACCTATCTTTGTCTGTTTAATTTTCAAACCCAGGCAGGACCCCTAAGAGGGTTGAGGAAAATGTTTTCCTTCCCTACAGCTCTATGGAACTCCTGCCAGAAAATGGATGAAAATTACCTTCAAAATATATCATTTCTGAATTTAAAGATTCAGTGAAACACTGTTGTAATGATATGTAGAGAAATATTCACAGATAATCTATTAAGCTTGCTAAACTTTTATTTTGTTTTCATGTGAATGTATCATATCACTGGAGATAGACTAGAACCAAGATATAACATGATTTTCTATGAGTGAAAGGCCATCTGTCTTGCTTTTTTACGTGACTATGTACAACATTTGCTAATATGTACCACCAGACTTTCTTAAATGATTGCTATGAACAAATTTAAATACAAACACTAAAAGTCTCAATAAAAATCACTGTAAATATTTCAAACATATTCAACTAGGGAATGGAAATCAGAGACATAAGTAGTTCTATGATATGGTTGCATATAGTTTTAAGGAGGGGAAGGTCAGATTTCTTCAGCAAATAGGTGACCATCATTCTAGGAAGATGATGATACTACCTGAGAAGGTGAACTGAGAACTTCAAGTTCTCAAGAGTTTTCCAGGAATCCTTCACATAGCCTGATGCCAAAGGCTGCTCTCGGGTAATGAAATGGGCTGAATCTCCTTTCCCGTACAGCAGGGGTCCCCAAACCCCAGGCCTGTTAGGAACCGGGTGGCCCAGCAGGAGGTGAGCGGCGGTGGGCTGGGGAGCGAGTGAAGCTTTCTGTGCGCTCACTATCGTTCCCCATCGCTCTCATTACTACCTGAACCATCCCCCCTCACCCCTCCCCGCTCCGTGGAAAAATGGTCTTCCACGAAACCAGTCCCTGGTGCCAAAAATTTGGGGGACCACGGCTACCTTACATTTATAAGTGCTTCTCCTCGTCCTCTTGCTACCTCACTTCCCAGAGCTCAAAATACTTTCTGCCTCCTAAATACTCCCTTATTAACCCTAAAGCCATGGGGAGGCCAGTAGGGGAATTTGGAAGGGCTACTCATTTTCTGAGCTCAGAAAATTCTATCACGTCAGGGTCAAGCTCGTCAGAAACGAATTTGAACCTTCTGGCTTTGCACAAGGAAATACGAAAATAGTTGGTGGTCACCCCTCCCCACCCGCCAGAAGAATTGAAGAGAATATTCTCCAGTTTGTCCGGTTGAAGATATTTCTGCAAGCGTACAGTTTGAGGCCTGGGGAATCCTGGCATGCTCTTGTACGTTTTATTTACAAACATTATTTGTTAAAAATATAGTGCTGGGACAAGCAAACTAATTTGTAAAAATTTAAGTTAAAAAAAATTGTATTTGACAGAGTGGCTTTAGTTGTGGAACACAAAGTGTAAGCAAATAAAAAAGTAATGGGGGCTTCCCTGGTGGCGCAGTGGTTGAGAATCTGCCTGCTAATGCAGGGGACACGGGTTCGAGCCCTGGTCTGGGAAGATCCCACATGCCGCAGAGCAACTGGGCCCGTGAGCCACAACTACTGAGCCTGCGCGTCTGGAGCCTGTGCTCCACAACAAGAGAGGCCCGCGCACCGCGATGAAGAGTGGCCCCCGCTTGCCACAACTAGAGAAAGCCCTCGCACAGAAACGAAGACCCAACACAGCCCTAAATAAATAAGTTAATTAATTAATTTTTAAAAAAAGTAATGGAATCCAGAAATAGATTATGTATGCATAGCATGCTGTGACTGCAAAAACAGGTTAATGTGTAACTTAATTAATTTCCTCCTTTACAGAAACTTCGTCTTTGCTCGGCAGCACCTTTATTAGGTAAGCACAACAAACTTGAGTTGTTTACATAAGAAAGCTCAGGGAACTACTTATGGGAAAGCAAAAGAATAAATCCAGAAGGTGAGAGGGGAGAAACAAGAAAGATGAGAGTGCCGAGCCCAGGTCAGGCCAGAGGAACAGATGGAGCTATTGGCCTAGGGGGCCATGTGATACAGAAATACATAACATGTATGTATGCATTCCCTATATAGAAATACACACACACACAACTTTCTATCTGTGTGTGTGTGTGTGTGTGTGTTTTGAGAGACAAAGAAGAAGAAAAGGAATTATAGAGATTTGATTTTTGGATTAAAAATTTAATGCCTTCATTTACTTTGGATTATTTTTTAATATTGGCCTGGGGTTTCTTTTTAAACTGCATTGATAGTGCTACAAAGTAGCTTAGTTTTATTAAGCTAAGCTGTATGAAATTGCTGATTTTTGTATGTCAAAGATGGTCAAATACTGTTGTTTTTCCCGGTTCATCCTATTTTATGGTCCACCTCACATATAGAGTTAGCTAGTTCGCACACAAAGACTGAGATTTAAATGCTCCAGGCAGAGGAAGCCTCATGCACGTAGGCTGAGAGGAGAGGAAAACGGGGCACCACCAGGGCCTCTGTCCTGTGGCTGGTAAGAGGTTACCCAGAAGGGCGAGCAGCAGATGAACAAATGCCAATGATGCCAACATGGTGGCACCTAGCATGAGCTTTCTTCCAGACACTGTGCCAAGCCCAGACAGAACAGATCTCAGTACAATCTCACAAGGATCCTGTGAAGCAGGTATTATTAGTTTTCAGTATTCTCATTATTATTATTTTACCGATGAAGAACTGAGCCTGTGATGGTTAATTTTACGTGTCAACTGACTAGGCTATAGTGTTAAGTTGATGGGATTACCATTTAAACTATTAGACTTTGAGTGAAGCATATTACCCTCCATCAGGTGGGCCTCATCAAATCAGTTGTAGGCCTTAAGAGAAAAGACTGAAATCTCCTGATGAGGAAGGATTCTGCCTCCAGACTGCCTTTAGACTTAAGGCTGCAACGTTAACGCCTGCCAGAATTTCAATTTCAGACTTGCCAACCCTCACCATCACACGAGACATTTCCTTAAAATATCTCGTTCTCTCTGTCTTTCTATATATGATGTATATGTACACATCCTATTGTTTCTTTTTCTCTGGAGAACCCTAACTAGTATAGAGCTGATAAATTATAGAGCAGAGACAAGAACGCAGGATTTCCTGGTTCCAAAATCCATATTTTTAATCACTACTTCATGCTGCCCCCTTCTGTTTCATTATAGAAGGTGTCATCCTTTGTTCACATCATTTATTAATGTGTTTGCCTCCCCATCTAAGCTATAAGCTCAAGAGGGCAAGAACTTTTTTATTCCCAGCATTCAGCACAATGCCTGTCACATGGCATTGCTCAATACATATTTGTTTTAGATTGGGGACAAAATATTTATGGTTCTGTGCTACAATAACTGTAAAGCACAATAAAAATATGAGATGTTTCTGTTATGAGGCAAACACATAATTCTTGTACAGTTATTTAGAAGCAAATATAGAATGTATGTATCTAAAAGTCTGACTATGTGCATAAGCCAGTGTGAAAATTTAAGATGGTATTATTACTTGATAAGCTTTTTTCAGCCTTTGCCAGCAACCAGGGGTGAAGGAATATTTCCAGGATAAAAAAAAATATATTGTATTTCTCTCCCTAACAGCTGAAGGAAGAAGTAGGAATCACAGACCCTTTTCCATGCAGGGTAAAGTCAGCAGCCTTAAGCTCAGAAAGGCAACTAGGTTTGATGTTTGTTAGTTTGATGTTAGTTCTGATTGATTGGTGGTGGCTGCCTGCTGCACTTGAGAAGATTGTGAGACCACAGTCAGGTCCTCAGCAAAGAGTGCCTTGATTAACAAGCAAGCTCCCACCTGGCCAAAGGATTGGGTGTGTGCAGCACAAGTGCCATTTTGTTTCCTGCCCTGATTTAAGCAATCCAAGGCTAGCCCTTCTGGTGCTTTTGTGAATTAGCAAGGCTTGCTGTTGAGAAGGAGAAGAGGAATAAAGGTTCAGTTTAAAAGGGAACCAAAACAAATTTCTTGAATGGCAGGTAAAATGTTCTCAGTGTCTAAGTGAAGATTAATCTCTCTAGCGCTATCTTTAACATAGAGCATATTCCATAATTTTTTTCCCTTTAATCACCAAAATCAGATAAAATCAAATTAACCAACACTTTTAAGAACATGTTTTCTGGACCAGAAGAATTAGTCATCAGGGCCCATGTCCAAAGCCTATACCAGGATAGAAATATATACTGTTGTTAGGGAGTATTTCAGTTTTCTCCTCTATTTCACCATAAACTGGACATTAATTTCATGGTGTTAAGCAGTTAATGGTTGCTTACTTTTACTCACATATTTATTAATGTCTTTGCACATTGTTCTTTTTTGCACATCAAACCTCCCATCTGGAATGGCTTTTCTTCTGTTTGAAATACATAGATTCTTTAGAATTCACTTTAGTAGGGATATTTTGGTGGTAAACTCACTTAACTTTTTCTTTTGTCTGAAAATGTCTTTGTTTCCTGTTTGTTCATTTTTATAAATTTCCTTATATATTTGTTATTATTTTTGGCTGTGTTGCGTCTTCGTTGCTGTGTGCGGGCTTTCTCTAGTTGTGGCAAACAGGGGCTACTCTTCGTTACGGTGCACAGGCTTCTCATTGCAGTGGCTTCTCTTGTTGCGGAGCACAGGTTCTAGATGCGTGGGCTTCAGTAGTTGTGGCACGTGGGCTCAGTAGTTGTGGCTCACGGGCTTAGTTGCTCTGCAGCATGTGGGATCTTGCCGGGCCAGGGATTGAACCCGTGTCCCCTGCAGTGGCAGGCAGATTCTTAACCACTGCACCACCAGGGAAGCCCTCTATTTATTCTTGGAAGACAGTTTTTCATGGTTTGGAAGTCCAGGTTGACAGTGATTTTCTGCTGTCTATTTTCTGCAGTCTGCTGGTTTCTCCTCTTTAAGATGTGAGGTCAGCAATCCATCCAGTCGTCATTCCTTTGCAGGTAATCTGCTCTTTCTTCTTGGAATCTTTTAAATATATTTTGCTTTTTTTTATCATTCTTCAGTCTCAGTATCGTGTCTAAAATTGAATTTTAGCCTCTTGGATCTGAAGATCTTTTAATACTTCTTGAAAGTTCTCAGTCTTTTTACCTTCAAATATTGTCTATTCTCAATTCGTTACCTTTTCCTGAATCTTTTTTTTTTTTTTTTTACGCGGGCCTCTCACTGTTGTGGCCTCTCCCATTGCGGAGCACAGGCTCCGGACGCACAGGCTTAGCGGCCATGGCTCACGGGCCCAGCCGCTCTGCGGCATGTGGGATCATCCCGGACCAGGGCACGAACCCGTGTCCCCTGCATCGGCAGGTGGACCCTCAACCACTGCGCCACCAGGGAAGCCCAACCCCTGAATCTTTGAATAGGCATTATTAAAACCCTTGTCACTCTTTTCTCTCGATTTTTCATATTCTACACCTCATTTTTTCATAGTTACGTTCCAGTCCTCTGATTCTCTATGAAAGCTACAAATGCACATACCACTTCATGAACTTTCTGTTGTACTGGACTTTGCAATGAATGAAAATAGGAGAATTCACATTAATTCTAGTTAACAGGCTCCTGGAGCCAGATTGGCTACCATTAGCTCTTACCTGTATATGACAGATCATGTCAGGGCAGGTGAAGGAGAATATTGAAGTGGATGGTAAATGAGGTAGCAGCGGGGAAACAGGGCCATATGGCTTTACAAAGCTTCCTAGCATTATTATGCCACACATACACTCTCCCTCTGGAATGGAGGACCTGTGACCATAATTTTGTACTAGGAAGGGGAGGCTTCTCATCATAAGACACCATCTGGGAAAACGTATCCAGATGTAATTTTCCTTAGCAATTTTCCTATGCTTGGCTCTGTTACCATAATGGATAGGTTTCTGTCATCTGTTCCTTGGGAATATTTTGTAATGTCAGTGTGAATAGTGTTAGGATTTATTTATTTGGCAACGAATTAAGAAGTGTGACAATTTATTGTCAGTGAATTTGAAGAGGAAAATATTCCCTTGCTCTAAGCTCTTAGCTCACTTCTACTTATGAATACCCTGTTCCAGTTACTTGAGTCTGGAGCCAACATACGTAAGTAAAATTCTGACATGGAATTATATCACTGCAGATAAAATACCTTGTTTAAACCATAAAAATAATTTTAGGATTCTAATTCTTCAAAACAATGTCATATTGCTTTGTACTATTTTGCAATGACAAGCAGGCTTGTACATTTTAAAGTGAAAATAAGGATGGCATTTGAAATAAAATTGCCTTTTGTCTTCTTTAAATCTAACAGATAATAACATCTAAAGAACTGAGCAGGGGAGGAAGAATCTTAGTGTCTATGGCTCATACACACGCACTTTCATCATTTCTTAGGGCCGTGACCTCTTGCTGTGTAATTTTGCCCAGAAGTTTTAAATGTTATCTTTGGAGCATTTTTGTATACAATGGCAAGAGAGAATTAAAAGCAATATTTAGGGAGGTGCCAAATCAGGTACAGGTGTCTCCAGTCCTCAGTGTAGTTTATACAGTAAAAATTCTTAATATAATCTTACAGGGTATATTATTCAACCCACCGTACAGGGGTTTGGATGAGAGATATTCTATCAGTTTAGATGAATCAGGGAAGGCTTCCTGAAGGGCATGCCATTGAATCAATCTTCGAAGGATGAACACTAATGTGGATAAAACCTATTTTCTTAGCCAGTAGAATTTTCCCCTAGGAAGAGCCTTGTTTTGTCTGATGGATACTCTGATAATCCTTTTTGGAGTGGGGACCGGAGACCACCAAGGTGCAGGCGTAAGTTATGTATCATGCTTTTGATTTACTGAGCACAGCAAGCAAAGTGAGTGTGAGCTGAATTTAGCTCTTAGGAAAATAAAAAGGATTTTTAAAGGTAGTAGAGGGCAAGACGTGGAAGACTTCTTGATGAGGTGTCTTAGGGGAGGAAGAAGAAAGTCAACGGTCAATCACATTGGGTTTTGTGTAGGTGTTGCTACTATGTGAATCTTTCTCCTATTTCCACAATATATTTGGTTAGATATCTGCTTATTATTAACATATTTTAGAATTAGACCTATCAATGCCCTGCTTCAAGGCTGTTATGAATTAAGTAGAAAGGCTGTTGTTCGCAGATTCCTAATGGATAGGACTGTGAAGACAGTGAAGGGTAATACTTTTCTTATTTGGGCTCTTAATAGAGGTTAGAGAGCAGATGCATGAGGCTGTATTTCCTCCTGAGTGCTTAAAGTACAAATAAACTGGTTTCTTTTTTTTTTTTTTTTTTTTTTTGCGGTACGCGGGCCTCTCACTGCTGCGGCCTCCCCTGCCGCGGAGCACAGGGTCCGGACGCGCAGGCTCAGTGGCCATGGCCCGTGGGACCAGCCGCTCCGCGGCATGCGGGATCCCCCGGGCCTGGGCACGAACCCACGCCCCCCGCATCGTCAGGAGGACTCCCAAACACTGCGCCACCAGGGAAGCCCAAATAAACTGGTTTCTTGATTGAGAGTTCATTAAAATATTATAGACGGAACATAACAGAGTAAAGCTGGTGTGCCTTTGTGGAAATTGAGGAGTCTTGTGAAAGAGTTACGGGAATGGAGGACCATTTCAGCTCTATGTGGAGAGAGAAATAGAGTATGGTTTGATTGTAATATGGCGGAGTATAAGGAAAGTGGTAAGAGACAAGGCTGGAAAAATAATCTGGAGCCAAAGCATGAATGACCTTTCATGCATGAAAGACCTCAATGCCAGGATTAAGTAATTGGATCTCATTTGTTAGGAAAACAATAAAAGGAGAGTCATAGAATATTTCTTTTGGGGTGGTAATTTAGATTTATAAAGTAAGTTTTTTAAATTCTGAAAATAATGCATTTTTGTCATATAAAGCCAAGAAATATAGAAAAAGCATAAAAAAGAAAATAGATGCTTTGGTAATCCAACCACCTATATTTTGTTGTATTCTTTCTGGAATTTTTGTGTGTGCATAGACACAGGTTTTGAAAGGTAAAAATGTCATTATGATGCACATACTGCTTTGTCGGCTGCTGCATTTTACTTATCATTGAAGACTGGATTAGAAAACCTAAGTGAATAAATGTGGTTGCAATGAAGTGCTGGATTGTAGTGACCAGAGCCTGGATACTGGCAAAGCCCAGAAGAGGTCTCAAGAGAGGTAATGTCAGGGTCAGCACAGAGAAACTGGGAAAGACCAAGCAGAGCTGGTGGGCACGCTGGAGGCCAAGACTGGGGCAGAGGAAGGCTTGGTGGATGATGATTTCCAGGCTCTCAATCTGAACCTATTGAAAAATTAACCAAAGTAGGGAATTAGGATGACTTGTCAGTTTTGATAGAAAGTTGATAGGTTTGATTGGCAGAGTGTATGGCTGTCAGCAAATCCGGGTGAAAATGTCCAGTAGAAACTGGAACAGTCAGGCGTGGTGACTAGGCCAGGGGACTGGAATAGAGGAGGGAACAGCAGCCTGAGTGCTTGCTCATGCATGGCTCATTTAAGTCCCCCAACCTTGCAAAGTAAAAATTATCATCGCCATTTCACAGAGAAGCCTCAGCAAGATGAAATCATTAACCCACACAGCTACTAAATGGCAGAACTGAGAGTAAACACTGTCCAAACTCTTTCTGTTTTGCTAAGCAAAGAAGTGTTGAAGGGGCAGAATGAGTAGGGGAGATCATTAAAGTAAAAAGTGTACAACTATTAATATGAGTACATTTAAATACATATATATATAACCCCCCCCACACACACGTCTTCCTGTGTGTGCATGTGTGTGTGTTGAATGTTTATTATGATAGAACACAGAGGCTAAGAACATAACATATCCCTACACTAAACAGTGTTTGTACAATCATGGAGCTTACATTTTAGCTATGGAAACAATCATTAGACTACTAAGTGTCCATTAATTAAAATTGTGACGTGTGATGAAGAAGCATCAGAAGGAATTAATAATCAATAAGGGGATCTGACCCAATCTTTTCGGCCAAGGAAAATTTCTCTAAAGAAGTGACATCCTTCAGATATAAGTTTAAATGAAAGAAAAGGGAGAGGAAGTTATACCAGGCAGAGTGCGTATCTTGAGGAAATCTCCGAGGTGGGAGAGGCTGGCACAGCAGAACTTCAGGATGATAAAGTGTAGAAATGGGGGAGGAAAACGGTGAGAGACTGGGTTGGAGCACCTAGCAGAGTCCAGTTCTGCAGGGCACGTTTATTGTTTATTGTAATGGTAAGGAAGCCGTTAAAGAGTGTGGGAAGGGGAGCGACAAGTTTGTTTAAATTTGTTTACTTAGAAGACCTCTCTGGCTTGATGCAGAGAATAGATAATAATAACGTGAACTGCATTCACGCTTCTAATTCCGCATTCCCTCCACAGTCGTAGAATAATAGGTCCTTGATTTTTACCACATGACTACACCCCCTCCCACTAGATTGGGGGGAGGATATTTCCTCACCTGCTTGATCTGAGGCTGGCCGTGTAACTTGGTTTGGCCAATGGAAGGTTAGCGTGTGTGCCTGGAGCCGAAGCTTTAGATGCGCAGGCATGGTTTATCTTGGCCTCTTGCCTCCACATCAGTCATAAGAAGAACGTGCTCATGCAACCACTGGTCCCATAAAGAGGCACAGACAGAGCTGAACAAAGCAAGCCCATATCCCTCAAGTGAGAAAAACAAATGACTTGTGCTGTAAGCCACTGAGAATTCACTGCAGCTTTTGCTAACTCAGACAGGAAGGTGTAAGAATGAAAGCAAACAGACAAATTAGTGTTCTGGGTAATAGATAATGGTGCATTGGACTAAAATAATGGCAGTGTGGAGATGATAGAAGGAATAGATTCCGGGGATATTTAGGCTTTAGAATTGGTAATATGGATGACTGATTGAACGCAAAAGTAATGGAAAAGGAAACATCAAGATGGTATTTCAACTAGAGATTCTTGCAATATTGTTCAACTTTATGATCCTAAAGACAATTGAATATGCCCAGAGTTTTCAAGTGATGTATGTCATTTTATTTGTGACTATAGAGATTATTATTTTGGTGACAAAATTAAATAGTGAAGGTCCCTTCCCCCGGGGAGTCCACGGGGAGGATCCAGGCTGCTGCATATTTACTACCATTCCTCGCTGAGAAAGCAGTACCAGCCCAGGTTTCAGAGGACCTGCTGCCAATGGTCTAAAAGCCTTCACTTTGACGTGATTGATATCTAATGTCCTGTTAAGGTTTGGGGGTTGTTACAGGCATGCCAGCTTCTGCCGTTCAGAAGCACTAAATCGGGCTTCCCTGGTGGCGCAGTGGTTGGGAGTCCGCCTGCCGATGCAGGGCACACGGGTTCGTGCCCCGATACGGGAGGATCCCACATGCCGCGGAGCGGCTGGGCCTGTGAGCCATGGCCGCTGAGCCTGCGTGTCCGGAGCCTGTGCTCCGCAACGGGAGAGGCCACAGCAGTTGGGGGGCCCCCTTAGCGCGCAAAAAAAAAAAAAAAAAAAAGAAGCACTAAATCTATCACTTTTACAAGGAAGCAAAAAAACCCGCAATTTATTATATTTTAGTGCAGGATGCTTGTCAGGCTTTCTGCCTAAGGCACACTTTGTGCCTGAACTTGGATCCACAGCTTTATAGCCTGTCCTTTCGCCGCACAATTTCCTGATCAGTTCTGGACGATCCTAATGGTTGCTTATTTTGTTTTTCCCAAGGAAGCAATGAGACATTTTCTGTCCAATGTGAGTGAGCTGCAAACAGCATGATTTTTATTAAATTAGTGAGTAAATAAACGTTTGGCAGCCCAGTTGTTGAGAAAACGGGGCTGTGAACTCCAGAAAAGTCACTAATCCAGGCAAAGACTGACTCATTCTTTCACTGTTCTCTCCCAGCAGCCAGAGCAGTTTAGGTGTCTGTAAGGGTCTGTAAGCACCACGCTTGCTGTGGCCTTTCTGATGGAGGTTAGCGAATCAGAAGCACTGTGACTCATTTATCAGCCAATTTGGACTGTTGGGTCTGATTTTCTGGGTTCTGCCCGCTGAATTTGCCTCTGTTAAATTTAACTCCAGCTTAATGGTTTGTTGATCTTCTTTCAACAGAGCCCAGCCACTGTGGGATTACCAAAAACTTCACTTTTTGACATCAGAATTAGATTAATTAGAAGTTAATTCTTAAATGTGTCATAATAACTTGGAAAAGATGAGATATACAATATCCCATTTTGGCTCCTCATGTTCAATTTTCCTTTAATCACTGCAGCAGCTAACAGATACTAAAATATACTGACTGATGTGTATTTCTGTCTTTTTCATTTCGTAGTTCTTGGAAGTCTAGGGGAAATATGGCTGCCTATGGAGGAGGGACAGGAAAAAGATCAATGTAGAAAGTGGTCTAGAAAATCCACAAGCCATGTAATCAATATAATCAACATCTCGCTGTTTAAGAGTTACCTGGGATATGTTTTTAGCATCCTCACTTCCCCATGTCCTGGAAAAAAAAAAGCTCCTTCTTTTATGTAAAACCAAATACAAAACAAATACTTTTTTTCTGCTTTTCACTTAACAAAGATACCATTTCAGCAGAAAGCGCAGGAGATTTGGAACCAATAAACTTTGTGTTTGTCTAGTTCCAGCTTTGCCAAAAATTCATTGTATGGCCTTGGGCAAGTCACTTAACATTTCTGAGCTGCAGAGTCTTCATCTGGTAAATGAGAAGGTTTTCTTGGGTGACCTCCTTGAAGATCATTTTAGGCAAAAGGCTATGTTCTTCATTCCATGGGTTGCAATTTACACGAGCCTGGATCTATTGTTTTCATATTAATATTTTTGCTTGTGTAAACAGCTCTCAGAATTCACTAATCACTCTTTGACCTGATGGTAATTTGTTTTGATAATATTGATTACAATAAGTGCCATTCATTTTTCATGATTAAGAAGAAAGTGTGTCCTTTGCCTCCATTCTATTCATATTTTTTGAGGCTATATTTCTCATCCTTTTAATCTCATAAATCTAGGAATGAAAATTGCTAAGAAGTGCAAACACAACAAACAGAACAAAGACAAAATCAAACACACAAACCAACAAAAAATAAAGGTTAATATCAGAGGCTAAAAAATCCAAAGCAAGATTTAGAGGAATCTAGCAAGGAACTGTGATTTAAATTACCCACAAAATGACATCAGGTGAAGATGATCTCACTGGTTTTGTGAAAAGTGTTTCATTTCCTGGTGATTTTGACCTTTCAGTGAAATCTCTTTGCCTTATCTTCTTCACATATTGCTCACCTGTGCGTTTCTTAAGATGCCCTTTATCTGGGTGTCCTGAAGGACATTTTAGACAGAACTGAAGATGACTTTCAGCAGCCTCCGTCCAGTATATGTTCGCCCAATTCTGTGAAGGAGTCCAGATGTACTACCCCAATTTATGCTACTTTGGCATATTTATTTTTCAGCTAAAGGCAATTGAGAAATAACAGACACAAGAAGAATTCATTGCCCTCTTCCTGTCTGCCTGAAAGTAGGTCATAAATTCCTTCCCGCCAGCTATCTAGGATGAAGAAGAAACCCTTATCACTGGAGATGGAGAGTCACACCAAGATTAGTCTGCGTAAACAAACCTTACTAAAATAATTATATTCCATTCACTTCCGCCATATATTTCCTAGTCACTTTCTCACAATTTATCATCCCTAGAAGCCCAAACCCCCTTCCTTTATCTAGTCATGTCTCCACAATTTATTGCCCTTTGTTAAAATAGTATATAAGCTCCCGAGTCTGTTTCTTTGGGTTTCCACTTTTCTGTGATACCCCTATGCACATAAAATTAAAAACGTTAATAAAATTTGTATGCCTTTCCTACTGTTAATATGTATTTTGTCAGTTCAATTCACAGGCCCCAGCCACTGAACTTGAAAATAGAGGAAAAGGTTTTTTCCTCCCCTCCACCTGAAATCCATTTACTTTCTGGGAGAAGGCCAAGAGACCCTCTGCCAACAAGCCCTAACTGTGGCCTTTTAAAGAGGAAGAAGAAGTGAATCTGTATAGCTGTAACGGCCAAGGGACATCAGGAAGGTGAAATGCAGTGATGCCAGATGGAATTTGGCTAGCAGAGAATCTTCGTGGTTGGTAAGAGGTCAGAACCTTTGCTAACTACATCCTTGTTACAATGTAGACTTTGACTTTCTGACTGTTTTCCTTTAGGTTATGTTTTATGTTTGTAGTCTGATAATGTTTTCCATTAATTGCAAATTTTCTTTTTAACATCTTTAGTGGAGTATAATTGCTTTACAATGGTGTGTTAGTTTCTGCTTTATAACAAAGTAAATCAGCTATATATATACATATATCCCCATATCTCCTCCCTCTTGCATCTCCCTCCCACCCTCTGTATCCCACCCCTCTAGGTGGTCACAAAGCACCGAGCTGATCTCCCTGTGCTATGCGGCTGCTTCCCACTAGCTATCTGTTTTACATTTGGTAGTGTATACATGTCAGTGCTACTCTCTCACTTCGTCCTAGGTTCCCCTTCCCACTCCCCATGTCCTCAAGTCCATTCTGTGTGTCTGCATCTTTATTCCTGCCCTGCCCCTAAGTTCATCAGAACCATTTTTGCCTCTGATTTCTTTGCAACAACTCGTTTTATTCAAGAAGCCTTAGTTTATTTATCACCATCTTTTTATATATAAAACTAAGTTATCAAGGAAAAGTAAAGGTGTTTAAAAAGAGTCCAAAACATGGTACAAATTACTCGTAAATGTACAGTATTTTGCCGTGTAATTTTCTATGACGTTCAAGGGACAGAAACCAAGCAGAATGTGGTCTGGGTAGATTTTTGTGCACAATAATCTCCTCTAATATATCACACTTAGAGAAATTTGTGTTAATTTGACCATTGCTTACCTTTGGAGGAGCTTTAGCATTTAATAGCCATCATTACAGCTGTATCCTTAATTCTGCTTCATTCATTTATTTAAAACATCTATTTAATACTTAAAATACGACAGACACTGTGCCAGTGCTGAGAATACAAAGATGAAAATCCTGAGTTCTTTGCTCACTTTGACTCCTTCAATTGGCAAATGTGGAGGCATTTGCTGAAAATTAGGTCAAGTGCCTATAAAATCTCTAATTTTTACTACATGAATTACATAGCTTGTTTTCATGCAAATATGGTCCTAGAAAATTTTGGCTTAATGAATAAAAATAGCCTAAAGTATTTTCATTTATTGGAATAGCTTACCATTAAAGACTGATTCCAATAAAGAAGAGCAAATACATATTTATGAATATATATATTCAACATTTCAATATCTAGGCATATATTAATTCCTAAATATAGTTTTAAATTATTTTTAGTTCTTCACAAAACTGTTTTCATACATGCTTAATTTCTTGGTCACAAGAAACTGGTCATGTACCTTTAAATTAGAAAAAAATTGAGCGTGCATGTGTGCACGCGTGCATACGTGTGTTTACGAGTGTTGCATCCTCACATATAGTCAAAGTGGCTTCCAGTTCTGTCTTTTATAGACCAAAATTTATATTTGGCTTTGAATTGCTTATTTTTATTTTGTGATAGATCAGAAATAAGAACAGACTCAGCATAATTATAGTTATTCTAAAATTTAATACATTTTTAAAGTGGAAATTGAAAATAATTTCTAAGATATATGCCTGCTTTTAAAATTATCCAAATTTCTAAGTGATTTTAGGATTCTGGATTCACCATACACTTACTTTTTAATATTAATTTGTACATTTTTTAAAGCCTCAGGATGTGTGTATAGGGGATTTCTAACAACCTAAACATTTAGCTAGATGTTAAGAGATCTTATGAAAGGGTGAATGTTTTCATACTATTTTTTTTTTCATGTTTCTTTCCTTCCTCTCTTGTATAAAGTTTGGGTTATACAATGTGTGCTTATTACCTAAAAGACAAATTTCCTTAAAAAGAAAAACGTTTTATTCTTTACTCACCATTCAGTTCAGATCAAACTTGACCAGGGATGTAGGATTGGAGATCCTTGCTTTGGTTCAGAGCTGAAAATATGCACTTTTATGATCTCTCCCTACTATATGATTCTCACATGGGTATGAGAATCCCTGGTGTCATGAAAGAAAATCTCTGCGGGTCAATTTTTTTGAATTACAAATTCATTCCAGGTAAAAGGAGAAGGGAGATAGGTAGCGCTGAGAATAAAGCAAAGACATATCCTTCTGAAACAAGTGTGGGGCTTTTCTGACCCTCAGAGACTTAAGTAAGTTTGGCTGAACCCCAGCTTGAGTGTCTGAGAATTTAGAGCCCTTCTCACCATGTCAGTAACTTCTGACACATTTTTTTCCCTTGTTGTTTCCTCTGGACTTTTTTCCACTAGTGTTTTAAAATATAGTGTATTAATAGAAAAGTTGAGATACAGTAAGGTCAACAGGTCAGGAGATAGTTGCCATGGCAAAGATATTTACTCCCATTTCCCAAGAGAAGGAGTCATGCCAAGCCATGGAGACCACTTGGGGAATTATCGAGGTCAACATGAAGCAGAGGGAAGGCGGGGAGTTGGGATGTGAGCAGGGGCCTTTACTGGAGTTTCTACAGGAAACAACAGGCGAGGGAGGGTAAGCAGACTTAAAGCTCTAGGAGTTAGGAACTGTTCCTAGTTGTGTGGTAACTGGCACTGGGGTGAGAGAGCAAATAGACAGTGGCCCAGAGTACGAGAGCCCGACAAAGGAGGTGGCTGGTGGTAAGGACTGTGGACTGGTTGGTTTGTGTTTGAAAAGCCTGCTCCTAGGTGAGTTGTTGACGATGTCCAGGAACTGGCTAACTCTGGGAGGGTTCACAAGACCTCAGATGTCAAAGCATCAGAATACCGAAAACAAAAGGACAAACACCTAGGTCCAACTCCCTATCTTGGTTCTTGCCCCTAAAGGCCTGAACCAAAAGTACAGCCTTTTTATCAGTTCCCACAAAAGTTCTCATCACACCAAGAATTTTGTTAGTTTAGGCTTTAAAGCGTGAAAGGAAAGTTACAAGGAGTTATAAACAACTGTTTTTTCTAGCTCCTTCTTTCCTGTCCAGTGCAAACAACAATTTCCCCCTTCTTCCCTCCAGTAGGGCAAATCCCTACATTTAGGCCCTCCAAGGTCTTAGTTTCTACTACAACCAGGGGTTTCAAATAATTTTCTGAGCATTGGTAGATCACTTCTCCTTATGATAAATGCTTCTGTAGACCGCTAAGTAAATAAAAATTCCCTATCTCATACTGATAACATCAAAACATATAGAAACATCACACTGATAAGATGGTTGGAGGAGAACCGAAAGTAACAAAAGCAAGAAGTGACTTTAACCATGAAACTGAAGTGAAGGTGCAGAATGTGGCACTGTTGACTTCTAAGTGACAGTTTTGGCAGCAGTGTTGATAAACACGCCATGACTTTGCTCCCAGAGGCAGGTTGTGGTCTGTGAGCTTATGTAGAAGGAATTTATTGTATGTGCTTATACTATTATAATGCAATTTGTGTTACCATTTTGGAGGAATCAAGGACGGTTTGCTAGACAGCATGGGAAAGGGCTCCTGGGCATACAAACCCTGCCTGGTGTGTAGCTGTTTCTGTAACTGCATACAACTTGTGCCCTTGGTTATTCTGGGCCAAGGGAAAACCAGGAAACAACCTGTGAGTATCTTTATGAGTATAAATATCTGCCCACATAAGGCGTATGTGATGGTTAATTTTATGTGTAAACTTGACTGGGCTGTAGGATATCCAGATAGCTGGTAAAACATTATTTCTTGGTGTGTCTGTGAAGGTGTTTCTAGAAGAGATTTAGCGTTTGACTTGGTAGACTGAATAAAGATCACACTCACATGTGAGTTGGCGTCATCCATTCCCTTGTTTTTTGTTTTTTTTTGCGGTACGCGGGCCTCTCACTGTTGTGGCCCCTCCCGTTGCGGAGCGCAGGCTCCGGACGCGCAGGCTCAGCGGCCATGGCTCACGGGCCCAGCCTCTCCGCAGCATGTGGAATCTTCCCGGACCGGGGCACGAACCTGTGTCCCCTGCATCGGCAGGCGGACTCTCAACCACTGCTCCACCAGGGAAGCCCCATCCATTCCTTTGAGGGCCTGGAGAAAACAAAAAGGCAGAGGGGCAAATTTGCTCTCCGAGCTGGGACAACCAGTGCTCCTGGGGTTCTCAGGCTTTTGGACTCAAACTGACTTACATCCCCAGCTTTCCTAGTTCCCTGTTGGTTATGTTTCTCTGGAGAACCCTGAGTAATACATGAGTAACTGGGAGCAAGTGGTGCTGATCCGTGGACTAAAAGCTGTGCGGTTTGTTTGCTGTGTTCCCTTGGACCTGACTGAGGCTCACAATCTCCTCATTTGTGAAATGGAAATAACATCTGGGTCACATGACTGCATGAATTCCTCCGAAGAATGTATTTAAAAGTGTTTAGCCTCAAGTTTAGTGCTGTTGGTGGTTACCATTCTCTGGCTAAATTAATCTCAACTACAATTACAACCTAAATCTCAGCATAATCAACACTTTCATGTGTCTGAAACTGATTGATGGGGCACAATATTTGTTACAACGTTCAGACATTCTAAGGACAAAAGAAATTGGACAGAGATTTACTTTTGAAATACATGTTGGCTCGTCTTGCCAGCTGCAAATGTTTTGAGCTGAACTGGAGGGGTAATCAAGCCTGATGGTACGAGATGCTCCTCTTGATGGAGCCGGGGCTGCTGATTGTGGTTCAGGCTTCATCATCGTCAGATAAGTGGTGCTTCGAGGAGCTAGAGAGGGAGAGGATGCAGAGTGGGCCACAAAGAGCTCTTGATGAAGAGCTGTGAGTACTCTCTGATTTGCATTCAAAGAAATCAGGAATTTACTGCCAAGGCATCTTGATTTTGCCATAGCTGCTTCCTTCTTATTTCCAAGTGATTATTATACATGTATTAAGCTCTCACGGTGCATGGCACAAGGCAAGTAAAGAAAGCCCTGTCATAGGGCAGCTTCCGCTTTATCTTTTAAACCAAAGTTTAGAATTACCCACCAATAGAATAGCATGGTAAATGAAGCAGCTAATAGGATACTTCTGGACCTTTTCCACGTTATTCTGCGATATGAAGACAAGTT